AATAGCCAGATCTCATCGTCTCTCCAAATATTTTTTTTATTTCTCTGTTGATAGTCTGACATGTGTTCCACAGCCATCTTGTTTCTTCTCACGCACATGGGATTGTGGGAACTCTCTTATGGCTGGATCTAGTTTCAAAAACTCTCATGTCAATAGCAGTTGAGAGAGGTTGCACCAAGGCACAGTTGCTAATCTTATCACAATCTAGATTGAAATGCTAAGTGCAAATGGGTATTACAGTAAAATTTCTACATTTTGCTGAATTTTGGTGTTGGTGAGTATTAGTTTTTCTCATTTGCTATTATATTCTAATTTGGAATAATCAAATTATAAATATTATCACAAAATTTAAGCCTGAAATCATTCAAGAAATGCTGCTTAAATTATTTATAAACACCTTGAATAAATATGTAATCATAATTATTAACTACACAAATATATACACACACTTATATACATATGTATGCATACATTTCTTCATCAAAATTTATAAAATTTCAAAATACAGTACTTTCTAAGACAAAATTTTCCTAAGTATTCCTGTATTCCTAACAAAAATGTAATTCAAAACTTATTTTTAGGATTACACTCAATATTAGAAATTATATTTGAAATTCTGATATTAAAAATAGTAGAACTTACAAAACAAAACAGCCAAGAAGTCAGTTTTTTCAATCATTTGTTCTAAAACTCTTTCATTTATTTTCTCTATTTCTTCAGAAGAGCTTTGGTCAACTAGCCATTGCAACAGTTCATCTATCATCATTAAGTCTCCTAAAAAAGATAATTACTCCTTATTAAAATTATTGTTTAAATTTGATATAATTTTAATTATTCATAAAAAAACAAAGAATGTAAAAAAGGAAATAAATTTTAATATTACAGTGGGTGATTGGTTAACGAACAGATCGGATAAAGAACACTTTCGTGAAAGATTTTTACGTTCAGACAACGAACACATGATTGGATAACAAACACAAGAAAAAGCGACGTAAAATAATGAATACCAATTGGTCTTCCCTTGTCTTCAGGCAACAATTTGAAACTTTTCAGAGTGAAGGAAGACATCAACATCGACGCTCAAGCTGGTATATACTGATAGGATAGTATTCCTCTTAACTTTGAAACTCTCCCTTGTAATTCCAGCCTTTTATTTTTCTGACAAAACAATTCTTTTATGTATTCGTGAGACTTGTGAGGCACTTGTTAACTTTTGCATCTGTTTTTCTTTTCGAAAGGTGAGAGTATAATAGCAAAGGTAGAGAGTGGGCAGAAGATGCCCAATGTTGCTGGGCAGTATGGTGTGAACAGGTCTACATTAGGCTGCAATTCAATCTTATTTAAGAAAAATACAAAAATCAAGAAGACTTGAGCAGTTAAAGGAGTAACAAAAATCACATCTGAGAAATAAAGAACATCAAAGAGTTCATAATGGAACCTGAAACGGATCTGATGACAGAAGAATGCCAAGAACTCTCGAATGAAGAACACCAAGAAAATTGGCGAGATATGTTTTCTTCTGAAAAAGAGGATTAATGCCGATATCTGTTATTAAAGATCCTTTGAAGAAGTGGAAGGATGTCAGAACAACGGTCTTAGAATGGCATTCAAACCAGGTTGAGGCTTGGGGATTTCTACAATTGCAATGCTGTTAATTACTTATGAAAAATCCTGAAGAAGAGAGAAAAGCAATCAATATTAGATTCTTTAACCCTTTCAAATGAAAAAAACATGACTAATAAAAATGCAAGACTGTGTATGTATGTATTTTTATTATTACATAGTATATATTTTTTTATTTTTGGGGGTCTCCAGAATGAATTAAATTCCTATTAAAACCTATGGTAAATCGATAATCGATTAACGAACAATTCAGATAGCGAACAAAGTCTTGGAACGAATTATGTTTGTTAACCGATCTCCCACTGTATATTTAAATAATTAAATAATTATATAATATGAATGCAAAACTACTACATTTCAATTTCAAGTCTTTTATGACATAAAAAACACACACTGAGTTTTTATATTGATACCATGTTTATTTCTACAAAAGTATAAAGATATATCCAGATGTTATAAATTATCTAATTTAATAAAATTATATTGACGATTTTAGAAAAATTCTTTGAAATATTTAAGATGAAATTCTGTAATGAATAACAATAATCCAAAATTTTACAAAATCTGCTTTGTTTTCAATAATGTTCTTACAATTACACTTATTACAAATGCACAAATTCTATCATAAGATATTTTTCAATTTTCCATAATTTTTTTTATTAAGTTTTCTTATGTTACATGTTGCATTCACATATCAACTGGAATAGATCTTTCTATGCCTTAATCATCATACCTTGTACTTCAAACAACTTCAACTTCAAGCATTCCAGAATTTGAATGCTAAATTTGAGAGAAATTCAATCTGAAGTTTGAACAATGCTTCTATGTCCAAACTACAAGTGCTGTGAAAAAAATGTGCTTGCTGTACAAGTTCCATCTGTTGTGTGCCAAAGTCATCTCTCACGCTCATTGTACAATGTCCCATAATAACTAGATAAGATACACCTTCACAAACACTGGAAAATTCTACAAAAAAAATAAACTTTTATTAGATAAACAAATGTTTTCAATTTAAAATTGTCAGCCTGAAGATAATTTCTAGTTCTATCTTCCATATTTATTCTTTAACCTGAAGATTAAAGAATTAACATTGTTGAAAATGTTTATTTATCTAATTAAAGCTTATTTTTTGCTGGATTTTCTTGTCTTTGTAAAGTTATGCTCTTTATGTGAAAGCATCTCTTGAATTACATTCAACTTTTTTTGCTTTTGCTGTGAAAGCATCTATTGTGTTATGCTATTTTTAATGTGCTTGATTTTATATATATATAATCAAGCACATTAAAAATAGCATAACACAATAGATGCTTTTACAGCAAAAGCAAAAAATGTTGAATGTAATTCAAGAGATGCTTTCACATAAAGAGCATAACTTTACAAAGACAAGAAAATCCAGCAAAAAATAAGCTTTAATTAGATAAATAAACATTTTCAACAATGTTAATTCTTTAATCTTCAGGTTAAAGAATAAATATGGAAGATAGAACTAGAAATTATCTTCAGGCTGACAATTTTAAATTGAAAACATTTGTTTATCTAATAAAAGTTTATTTTTTTTGTAGAATTTTCCAGTGTTTGTGAAGGTGTATCTTATCTAGTTATTATGGGACATTGTACAATGAGCGTGAGAGATGACTTTGGCACACAACAGATGGAACTTGTACAGCAAGCACATTTTTTTCACAGCACTTGTAGTTTGGACATAGAAGCATTGTTCAAACTTCAGATTGAATTTCTCTCAAATTTAGCATTCAAATTCTGGAATGCTTGAAGTTGAAGTTGTTTGAAGTACAAGGTATGATGATTAAGGCATAGAAAGATCTATTCCAGTTGATATGTGAATGCAACATGTAACATAAGAAAACTTAATAAAAAAAATTATGGAAAATTGAAAAATATCTTATGATAGAATTTGTGCATTTGTAATAAGTGTAATTGTAAGAACATTATTGAAAACAAAGCAGATTTTGTAAAATTTTGGATTATTGTTATTCATTACAGAATTTCATCTTAAATATTTCAAAGAATTTTTCTAAAATCGTCAATATAATTTTATTAAATTAGATAATTTATAACATCTGGATATATCTTTATACTTTTGTAGAAATAAACATGGTATCAATATAAAAACTCAGTGTGTGTTTTTTATGTCATAAAAGACTTGAAATTGAAATGTAGTAGTTTTGCATTCATATTATATAATTATTTAATTATTTAAATATACAGTGGGAGATCGGTTAACAAACATAATTCGTTCCAAGACTTTGTTCGCTATCTGAATTGTTCGTTAATCGATTATCGATTTACCATAGGTTTTAATAGGAATTTAATTCATTCTGGAGACCCCCAAAAATAAAAAAATATATACTATGTAATAATAAAAATACATACATACACAGTCTTGCATTTTTATTAGTCATGTTTTTTTCATTTGAAAGGGTTAAAGAATCTAATATTGATTGCTTTTCTCTCTTCTTCAGGATTTTTCATAAGTAATTAACAGCATTGCAATTGTAGAAATCCCCAAGCCTCAACCTGGTTTGAATGCCATTCTAAGACCGTTGTTCTGACATCCTTCCACTTCTTCAAAGGATCTTTAATAACAGATATCGGCATTAATCCTCTTTTTCAGAAGAAAACATATCTCGCCAATTTTCTTGGTGTTCTTCATTCGAGAGTTCTTGGCATTCTTCTGTCATCAGATCCGTTTCAGGTTCCATTATGAACTCTTTGATGTTCTTTATTTCTCAGATGTGATTTTTGTTACTCCTTTAACTGCTCAAGTCTTCTTGATTTTTGTATTTTTCTTAAATAAGATTGAATTGCAGCCTAATGTAGACCTGTTCACACCATACTGCCCAGCAACATTGGGCATCTTCTGCCCACTCTCTACCTTTGCTATTATACTCTCACCTTTCGAAAAGAAAAACAGATGCAAAAGTTAACAAGTGCCTCACAAGTCTCACGAATACATAAAAGAATTGTTTTGTCAGAAAAATAAAAGGCTGGAATTACAAGGGAGAGTTTCAAAGTTAAGAGGAATACTATCCTATCAGTATATACCAGCTTGAGCGTCGATGTTGATGTCTTCCTTCACTCTGAAAAGTTTCAAATTGTTGCCTGAAGACAAGGGAAGACCAATTGGTATTCATTATTTTACGTCGCTTTTTCTTGTGTTTGTTATCCAATCATGTGTTCGTTGTCTGAACGTAAAAATCTTTCACGAAAGTGTTCTTTATCCGATCTGTTCGTTAACCAATCACCCACTGTAATATTAAAATTTATTTCCTTTTTTACATTCTTTGTTTTTTTATGAATAATTAAAATTATATCAAATTTAAACAATAATTTTAATAAGGAGTAATTATCTTTTTTAGGAGACTTAATGATGATAGATGAACTGTTGCAATGGCTAGTTGACCAAAGCTCTTCTGAAGAAATAGAGAAAATAAATGAAAGAGTTTTAGAACAAATGATTGAAAAAACTGACTTCTTGGCTGTTTTGTTTTGTAAGTTCTACTATTTTTAATATCAGAATTTCAAATATAATTTCTAATATTGAGTGTAATCCTAAAAATAAGTTTTGAATTACATTTTTGTTAGGAATACAGGAATACTTAGGAAAATTTTGTCTTAGAAAGTACTGTATTTTGAAATTTTATAAATTTTGATGAAGAAATGTATGCATACATATGTATATAAGTGTGTGTATATATTTGTGTAGTTAATAATTATGATTACATATTTATTCAAGGTGTTTATAAATAATTTAAGCAGCATTTCTTGAATGATTTCAGGCTTAAATTTTGTGATAATATTTATAATTTGATTATTCCAAATTAGAATATAATAGCAAATGAGAAAAACTAATACTCACCAACACCAAAATTCAGCAAAATGTAGAAATTTTACTGTAATACCCATTTGCACTTAGCATTTCAATCTAGATTGTGATAAGATTAGCAACTGTGCCTTGGTGCAACCTCTCTCAACTGCTATTGACATGAGAGTTTTTGAAACTAGATCCAGCCATAAGAGAGTTCCCACAATCCCATGTGCGTGAGAAGAAACAAGATGGCTGTGGAACACATGTCAGACTATCAACAGAGAAATAAAAAAAATATTTGGAGAGACGATGAGATCTGGCTATTATTAGATATGTGGCAAGAAAAAGTATTTATTTCTAACAAAAACTTTCATTTTGTTTGTTGGTGTTCATGACTTTGGAACCAGCTTTTCAGCTTTATTATCAATCAGCATAAATCAGACAGGCATAAAATGAGGGCAGCAAATAACAAATTTTATTTTAGGTTTGTAACTATTATAACATAATGATTAATATGTTTTCTTGGAAAGTTGTCTTATGGAATTAAACTTTGATATAAAAATTTGAAAAAGAAATAAAAATTTAAATTTTAATATGATACTGGTTAAATGATCATATCAAGCACTGCATTAAAAATTTGAAAAATTATATTTTTACTAGCAGATGAGCCCGGCATTGCTTGGGCAAAAAGTAACGATAGTGAAAATTAAGATAATTAGATTATAGCCAATCTTACCTGTTTTTACCAGATGCAAGAATTAGGTTCATCCTCTTCCAAGACCAATTAGAGAAATTTTAGATGGTCTAAAAACATGTTTGATTTTCTGCAAAAAAACCACTTTTAAAATAGTACAGTAAAATTCGAATTCAGTGTAATCCTTAACCCTCTACCTCTCTTCTGTGGGAGAAATTTCGGAAAGTCCCTTGTGTACAGTACATTCTCATCACGTACCCTAACTGTATACTTAATTTCAATTTTCAGCTTCTAACTGTTTTGGCTCTGCACTTATTATGTGTTGGTTTTAGTGGGTTATACTCAGTACACACCGGTGGCTGTATACTATGCCGGACCAGAGTCAAGGCATAGCAACCAAAACAAAACTAAAATTAAAGAAGTGTTTCAGTGTCAGTATTAAGGAATTTCCTAACAATATGGCATGTATTCAATATAGTGGCCTTCTGTAGTGTGATGTATGTATTTATATTCAATTGTAATGTTCCCAGGCTTTTGTGTAGTGTGTGTGGTATCACACCTGTACAGGAGAGAACAACAGGTACAATAACTACCCTATCCATCCTCCACAGATGCCTTATTTCCTGGGCAAGTTCTGTGTACTTACCAATTTTTTCAGTGAATGTGTTTTGTACATTGTGAGTGTTTGGGATGGCTATGTCTATAATATATGTGATTTTATTGTGTTTGTCAATGAGTGTGATGTCTGGTCTGTTGTGATAAATTGTTTTATCTGTGATTATGGCTCTGTCGTAGTACATTTTGTGCGTGTTATTTTCCAATACTGTCTGTGGAATATACTTGTAGTATGGTTCGTGGATGTCTGCCAATTTGTGTTTCTTTGCAAGCTCTTGGTGTATTATATTTGCTACTTGATTGTGTCTATGTAAGTAATCTGTCTGTGCCAAGAGCTTGCAACCAGAAGTGATGTGTTGTATAGTTTCTGGCATGATGTGACATTTTCTGCATGTGTCATTTGTGAGTGTTGTATCTTTGAGTATGTGTTTTCTGTAGTTTTTAGTATTTATGACCTGATCCTGTATGGCAATCATGAATCCTTCCGTCTCCCCAAAGAGGCATCCCCGATCTAACCAGCTGTTTGACGCAGTTTTGTCAACAAAATCCTGGGCCAGGTCGTAAGGATGCCTGCCATGGAGAGCCTTTTGAGCCCATGATTGCTTAATGTTGTCTATGCTTTTTATATGTTGTGTCATGTCTGTATGTTGTGAGTGTAAGTTTAATGGTGTGTTATTTGAGTCTGCTAGAGTTACTGCTTTATGTAACTGTGATGTTTCTTGTTTCTTGTAGAAAAACTCTCGCAGTGACTGTATTTGTTTGTAGTGAAGGTTAACTATGTCAATCAGGCCACGTCCGCCTTCTTTACGTGGAAGGGTTAATCTTTCTGTGGCGGATTTAGGATGATGTTGTTTATGCTTAGTAAGTGTTGTTCTTGTTTTCCTTTGGAGTTGCTCGAGATCTGTGTGAGTCCAATGTATAACTCCAAAAGAGTATGTGAGTACTGGGATGACATATGTGTTTATTGCTTTAACTGTGTGTTTTGCATTTAACTGTGTTCTAAGTATAGCGTTTAACCTACTTTGGTATTCTTTAATTAATCGTTGCTTTATTTGTGTATGTTCTGTTAGTTTGGCCTGTTGGAATCCTAAGTACTTGTAGAACTCGCCCTCTTCCATGGATTCAATAACGTCTCCATTTCCAAGTGCAAAATCTTCTTTCTTCAGGATTCCTTTTTCTATGTGAAGTTTTTTGCATTTGTCTAAGCCAAACTCCATTTGTATGTCCTTGGTGTATGAATGTGTGATTTGTAGGAGCTGCTGAAGTTGTTTTTGTGTGGATGCATAAAGTTTTATGTCGTCCATGTACATGAGATGTGACAGCGTAAACTGTGTTGTTTTTTCATGTCTGATATTGTAGCCATATTGCGTATTGTTTAACATGTTAGATAATGGATTCAGGGCTGGGCAGAACCAGAGAGGACTCAAGGAATCTCCTTGAAAAATTCCTCGCCTAATGAAGATTTGGTTTGTTTGTATGGAAGTGTTACTAACCCTGAGATGTAGTGTTGTTCTCCAGTGCTGCATAGTGAAAACACTATGCAGCACTGGAGAACAACACTACATCTCAGGAAGAATGCAATGAGTGATGGTTGTATTTTGTACATGTGTAGAATATGTAGCAGCCAACTGTGTGGAACACTGTCGAATGCTTTTCTGTAGTCTATGTATGCCATGTGTATATTTCTGTGTTGTTTGTGTGCTTGCCATAGAATGACTGAATGTATGAGTAACTGTTCTTTGCATCCCCTGTGATTTCTACAGCAACCTTTTTGTTGTTCTGTAAGAATGTCATGTTCTTCAACGTGTTTTATATTTTGTTTGTGATACAGGATGTCAATAATTTGTAGTGTTGGAAGACATGTAATTGGTCTGTATTGTGTGGGTTCTGTAGTGTTGTTGTTTTTCGGTTTCATGTAGGTGATGCCCTGAGTAAGAAATTTTGGCATGTCTTGTGGGTTGATGATGATGTGTGTTAGATGTTTAGCTAGTTTCTGGTGCATTGATGTAAACTTTTTGTACCAGAAATTGTGAATGTTGTCTACACCAGGTGTCTTCCAATTGTGTGTTCTGTTAACAGTGTAGTGGATGTCATGTACTGTACGTTTATTTCAGCACAGGGCATAGTTGGTATGTTATGCAAGTTTCTGTTCTCCTCCTCGATCCATCCTGCATCAGCATTGTGTGTGACAGCACTGGACGAAAGAGAAGACCAATAAGTTGTGAGTTCTTCTTCTGTTGGTGTGCCACTGTGCTGTATATTGTTTTGGTACTGATTTGTCTGTAGAAAAGTTTTTCATTGTTTGTGAATAATTTATTTTGTTGTTTTTGTAGTGTGCATGTTTTGTTTCGTTTGAGTCTACGTGCCTTGGTTGCAAGTTTCTGTTTTAGTGTATCAATGTATTCTGTAATGTGTGTGTTGTGACGTTTGTGTTTTGATTTTCTTGAAAATGTTTCAGTTGTTTCTTTAATTTGGGTGTTATGTTGTTTTTAGTGTATTGTGTCAGCCTGCCTAATTGCTGTCTAATGTCATTTATTTGTGTTTCTATTCTTCTCTGCCAGGCAGGTTTGTGATATAATTGTGTTTTGTGTACTGTCTGCGATTGTATTTTCAGTTTATGGTGTGTCACTACTGTGACTGCCCCAACATAAACTAATGTATGAATGTCTGCGAGTGTAGAAATTGAATGAATGTAGTTTGGTAATAAGTGAGTGTTTACATAATTTAGTGTTTTTCCTACTACCTTTGATGTGTTGATTTTTGGTATTTGTGGTTTTTGTGTGGGATCTGTACCTATATATTTAGTGAGTGTTTCCTGAAATATAAGTGAGAGCATATTAACTAATTTTATGTCTATGTCATCAGTGATGGATGAGGAAATGACTATAGTATCATTAGTGGTAGTTGTTGTATGTGTGCTATTATCAATGCTTGTTGATGGATTATCCTGACAGGTTACGTGATCTTCATTGATAATGTTAAATGTTTCTGTCTGTTGATGTATTTGATCAGCAACCTGTTGTTTGATAAGTTCAAGTGTTGTTTGTGGGATAAGGTTGTTGTGTATAATTGTTCTTTTTTGATCGACAACCCTTTGTTCGGTGACAGTGAGGTGAGGATATTATTGTGTGAATCTACGGTGTAGTTGTTGTCTGTATGCTGTCATGTTTGTTTCGAGTTTTGTGATTGCGTAGTAAGTGCTGATGATAAACTCGTTCATTTCTGATGTCCATTTCATCCGTTGGCATGGTTTTCCAGCCTTTGTGGTCTGTGGATGCATTGCCATGGAAACACCAAGGCTAGGTTGATTCCTCACATCTGTTGAGGGCATTGCAGTAGCCATGCTTGGGCTTGTGCTGCTTTCGCCACCGGTA